AGGGGTAGCTGAGTGGTACAGTGGATAGAACTCTGGCCTTGCAATCAAATCTGGCCTCAGACACTTGACACTTACTAGCTGTGTGACCCTGGGTAAGTCACTTAACCCTGACTGCCTCATCAAAAAAAAAGCAAAAGTGAATGTTGAAAATTATCTTTACATGTGATTACAAAAAATAAATAGAAGTTAAAAAAAAAAAGGAATCACTTTGTAAGCCTTGAAGTGATATGTTGTTATTTTCAGCATTTTGACAGGGCTCACATATACATGACTGAGACATGTCACTACCCTGCTACTATTCTTATATTTTAGTGTTATATGGAATACAGCATAGGTGATTAAAATAACTGAATTAAATAAAAGTATTGATGCAAGCACTTTCACTGGGGGCTCACTGAAGGCATTCTTAGCATAGTTTCAGTTGATGACAGAACAACAAGGATGATGCATACTTTTGCCTGTTCCCATATGACTTTGATATCTCTCCTAGGTCTCTATATTTTGAAAGTTTTTCATTCCATTTATCTTGGAGATTATGAGTATTTGGAATGGCAACATTTGCTAAAAACATCGCTCTTAGGTTTTCATGGATCAACATTATGTCCAGGTTATTTTGGCTAATAGTTTGGGCAATGGTAATAGTCTAGTTCAAATAGTTTATAGGTTTAGTTCTCCAGCCTGAATTTGTAGCATGAGAATTTGTCACGCCAAGTTCATGGAAGACTCCTAATTTCAGCCAACAGTTAATGTCATGCAAGGTATTTAGTAGGTGCTACACTTTCACAAGTTGCAGCAAAGTTTCTACCATTTTATCGTATAATGTACGTAGATCTGTACATTCAGCCTTAAGTATAACCTGTAATTCACGGTGGCAATGACCTGGTCCTGAATTGTCACACTAAATCCTTCTATTTGCACAAACAAATCCACGTGACTCAGCCATTCGTTCAATGCTTCTTTTGTCAGCATATTGCCTGAGTTCATGTGGATATTGCCCACGAAAGACCTTTTGACTCCATTCTAAGACTTTGGCTATTTCATAAACTCCATTCTTGGATAAGCCATTTTTAGTTACATTCAACAAATTCAAGGTATACCTGTTACCAAACTTTATACCATGGCTCAGTGAAATGATATATACATGTTCCAAACATATGACCTATTTACCTCGTACACTAAAAATGTCTATCTTCTTTTTGGAAAGGAAATATTCTTCTCTCTATATCTGCCTCAGGGTAATGGGTTTCATGTTTCATTAATACTACATGGATTTTTGTTAAAATACCTTCCAAATCTGTTATGGTACATTTTGCAGTTAGAAAACTACATTGACTGATATGTGTGACTGATATTACATAAAATGTTGATTGCTTTATATGTGCTCTTCCCATTCCACTTTGATTTCAGGATGCCTTTCTGTCTCAAAACAAATGTAACTTGCCTGGAGAAGACTGATATATTATTGCTGTTGTTGTTTTTACTACAGTCCAGACTTGGGATTTCATTGGCCTACAGAAATCCCTAATCTGAAACTGCCTCTAGCAAAGCAGATAAGCAATGGTCATATGAATTTCAGTATTAGAAAGCTGCCTGGGGTACTAAAAGGGGGTACTGAAAGGTTAAATGATTTACCCAGATCTCACAGCCAATATGTGTGGGGAGCTGGACTAGAATCCAAGTTTTCATTCAAAGGCCAGCTCACTACCCACTATGCTTTCAAAAAAAACAAAAACAAAAAAAAACAGGAAACTGTTTGAAAGAGTGTTAATGTTTATGCATACAGTCCATTTTTTTTTTTAGGCAACTGGGATTAAGTGACTTGCCCAGGGTCACACAGCTAGTAAGTGTAAAGTGTTTGGTCTGAGGCCAGATTTGAACTCAGATCCTCCTGACTTCAGGGCCAGTGCTCTATCCACTGCACCACCTAGTTGCTCCTCCATTTTTCTTTAAAATAAAACACAGGATACTGAAAAGTACATTAACAAAAATATAATTTCACTGAGGAGAGAAAACTGTCTTTAGCCTAACACAGCGCTTTCTATCAAATGAACAATACATACTTGTTGAAATGAATAAAAGGATAAGATCCTAATAGTACATTCTAAATGAAGATCTGATATGCCTTTGCTATTACTTAAATGTAGAAAACAGCATTTTATACACTTTCTGATCTGTGTTATACATGTCGGTAATGTTATTTAAGTATTATTACACTTAATATAATCTTTGTTTCAGAGATTTTCTTATGATGTGAGGGTTGCTGCGGGGGATGACCCATTTTTCTGCCTTAACTCCACCCTGGTGGAACCAGGCAATTCCAATGTCTCACATTCCCCTAAGGGAAGCCATCAGCTCTAGCCTATTAACCCTCAAGGGTAGCCACCAGCTCTACCTTATTAAAAGCAATCATCAAACAGATACCAGGTTTTTATTTAAACTGTAAAGAACACAGAATGGACTTGTATCTAAGCCTAAACTTAGCAGGAAAGACCCTTTCCCCTTTTTCATGAGCTCTCATTGACAGGTCATATGAGATTGCCAGAGGTCTAGAGAGCATAACAGAGCAGTGGAGATGGTAATGCACAGTGATCTACCATCTTATTAGAAGAAATGTAGTGGATGGTTTTCTGTTCACTCAAGATGTGTGAGCAGCCATGTCTGCTTGACAATGGAGAAGGCAATGCTGGAGGACTCTGGACCATTACCATTAGAAGGGAAAACTCAAGGAAGACTCAGGATTCCCTCCAGGGGTATACTTTATGGAGAAGGGGAAGAGTTTAGCACCTAGCTACAAGAAGAAAAGGGGAGAGGAACATTGGAAAAATCTGTGGGGAGTGACTCGCAGGCCATCAGAGATTGGGCTGAACCCAGGTCTTCCTGACTCCAAAGGCCCACTTTCTATCCACTAACTCTGCAGCCTAAGAAAAAAATACAAACTTCATAACAGCTTATTAAACAATATAAACTATTGTAATCATCATTATTATTAATTCCTGTGAAACCTTCTGTGGTATCCCAAGTAAAAATGTTCTCCCCTCATCAGACTGCTTATCATATATTATACTTACATGCATCCCCTCCCTGTGGGCATCTTTTAAGTATCAGATCGTGTCTCTGTATGCACTTGTGCCCAGTCCCATTTCTAACATGCTAGCTGGGTTACTCTGCACAAGTTACAATCCTAAGCTCCCCGGGGTCTCAATACCGTAAACTGCAGAAGAGTAGCTAACCTGTACTTGGAAGAGGGTAGTTCCTCCCCACACAGATGACATCATAGGTCACAGGAGGGAAATAACCAAAACACAACAATAACTAGCACTTACACAGCACTTTAAAGTTTGTAAAGCAAGTAGTGCTATTATTATACCCATTTTATAGATGAGAAAATGAAGCAGACAGAGGTTAAGTGACTTGCCCAAGGAGACACAGCTAACAAATGTCTGAGGCCTCGATATGAACCCAAGTTTTCCTGACTCCAGGTCCAGCACTCTACTGCACCATCTAGCTGCCTTGCACATACTTTTCTATAGTAGACCTTTCATGCTTCTTGAAATAGACATTGCGTAGTAATCCCTTTGAATGAATGAAAAAGATCTGGGGAAAAGGTAGAAGGAGACCAGTGAAGATTAGAGAGTGAATCATGACATACATATACATATATATGCATACACATATTACATACACATATGTATGTAGAATGTCCAAAAAGAGCTGGGGAGGTGGATGAGGGAGGCCGATGAAGAGAAGAGAGGGATTCATGGCTCTCATGTTTTATACACACATGTATGTGTACATATGTATACACACATGCATTTATATATGTAAATTTATGCCTGTAGACATATGATATATAATACATATATGTAAGCATATAGGGTGTTCCAAAAATATTACTGGTTTTATTATGAAAACTATTAAGCTTTAATATTTTTAACCATTAACATTTTATTGGCATTTAAAATATAAATATTTAAGTTTCAAGCAATTAATACTTATTTTGGGCCAGCCTACATGTTTATTTTCCTTTCTTTGCATTTGAAGGGTGCTGCCTGGCACACAGTAGGCACTTAACAAATGCTCACTTTCCTCCCAGGAACGCTGTGACGCAAGCAGTGAAGTCTCCATTTGACACATAAGGAAACTAAGCTGAGAGAGGCGAAGCAGCATGTCCAAACCTCCTGGGTGGGTGAACAACTGATTGGGGATTTGAGCTCTGGTTTCCCATTTGCAGGGGAGCACGAGTTAAAGTCTGCTCCTAAAAGTTGGAAGAGCTTCGACATTCTGCCCAAGGAGCTTGGTAACGGAAATAAGAACTGAATAAGTGGCACGCCCACTCCCAATCCGGGCAATGGGTACACGGCACGCTGGGGCCGCGCTTGGAGGATGAGTTCTAAGGCTGACAACCTCCTGGACCGCGGCAGGAGAGGGTCTCAGGGGAGGGAAGTCCCTGACTTCCTCTCCTAATGCAGCGCCCCCCACCCCAGGTCCACATGGAGGTCAGAGGTTGAATTTTCCCTCCTTCCTCCACAACACCTACCTTGGGGCTCGCCGGAGCCCACACTCTTCTAACCGCCGCCTCCCACTCCGAAAAGTCCCGCGCCCACAAAGCATGCTGGGAACGAGGGGGAGACGGGGAGCCCTCCTAACCCGGAAACGAAGTGGAGAGTACTGGGAGGAGCTCAGGCGGGGAGGAGGGGAGGGCGGAGGAGGATGGTGAGTTTGTCTACAGAACGAAACGCGTCCAGCGCGGGGGAGGAAAGGGCGTGGCCAAAGCCACTAGGGGCGGGGCCTCCATTCGGGGTGGGTCTTGGTTTGTGGAGGAGTGACTTCGGAGGGCCGGGATTGAAGGAAACGCGACTCGGAGTGTTCTGGTCCCACCCCCAGCCCCGAGGCGGCGGCCGAGGGTTGGACGGCTGCTCAGGAGCCTCCTCCTTCTCCCTCCCACCTCCGTGCTGTGTCACGAGACCCGCCCTCCCAGCCCCTCCGCCCCTCCCTCCGGTGGCCCTTCTCCTGTTTAGCCTCGGCGGACACCGGGCTGGTGATGTGAGACCGGGCGTCGGCGGCAGCGGCGGTGGCTGGGACCATGGCCCAGGTGAGCGGACGCTGGAGCCAGCGGGCGGGCTCGGCTCCGGGCTGGGCCTCAAGTGCCTCCCGAGGCCTAAGAGGCTTCTCCGGGAAGGGGGGGGGCAGGAGCAGCCGGGAGCGGGGAGACCCGGGGAAGGGGCCCGCGGGCCTCCGCCGGGCTCAGCGTCGGTTCGTGTGTCCTTCTCCAGGTTCCCTCTCAGGAGAAATCTAAGCTTGTCAGCGAGACCCGGAGGAGGTTTGAAGCCGAGTATTTGGCAGGTGGGTACCGCGAGGGGATGTCACCGTCTCTCTCCCAACTTTGCTCGAGGGCCCGCCGGGGTCCCCCCGGAAACAGCTGGAGCCTCAGGGCCCCTCGCACCCCGTATCTGATCCTATGCCTTGCTCCGACCCCGTCACCTGAGGAGTAGGTGTGTCGGGTTTGTGCTGCCCAGTGTAATCCTGGGATTATGCCGAGGTGGAAAGGGACCTCGGAGTTCTCCTAGTCCTGGGGTTCTTAGTGTCGTGGTCTTCTGGGGGTCTAACGAAACCCTATGGACCCCTAAGCCTATGAACCCCTTTGGCAGGTTGATGAAGCCATTGAACCCCTTTGACACGGTAATAAAGCCTATGGACCCTTTTTCAGGATCATGTATTTCAATGCGTTAAATAAAATTATTTTTAAAATAAAATACATAGGGATTTTTTTTAAATACACTTTTAAAGATAGTTTTGAAAAATAATGAAGCACAAATTTAGAACCCTCTCATTTTCTCAGTGAGGAAATTGAAGCCCAGAGGTTAAGCACTGATATCCCATAGTAAATAACAAAGTCTGTATTGGAGCTTAACTGCAAAGGCAGTGCAAATTGAACTTGATTATTCTGAGGTGCTAGTGTAGAGATTTAAATGGAAAAAAAATGTGTTTGAGGGTTTTTTGGTTGTTTTGGGGTTTTTTGTTGTTGGGGTTTTTTGGATATTTTCAGCTTTCTCATTGGGGTGTGCCTGATTGAAGTAAGCAGGTTGTACCAGTGCTGCTTGTTAGAATACTTGACACTACTCTGCAAATGGTTTCTATACTGATAATTTCATCAGTTTACAAGAACAAAATCTGTGGTGTTACAAAATAGGATGCCTCTAAATTTTATGCTCTTTGGAAGGAAAGCCTGTGTTTCTGTATTGCCCATAGTGCTTACTGTATAGATGCTTAGTAAGGAATATTTCTATCGTATTCCTGGGTAGCACAGTTGTTATGGTAATAAGGTAGCTTGACTTTTTGTGTTACCTGTATTGCATACTTTTAAAAGGACTCCAGTTATGTTTGTTTTGAAGTGTGAATGATTATTGTATATTTGTAAGTGGCATATATCTTGCAGGCAGGAAATTCTCCATTTGAACTTGCTTTATCCTTCACATTTTATCTATGGGGAAATGCTGTAAGCTATAGGAGCTTGACACTGATGTTGAGTGGTTGTGTTGTACTATTAAATACAGTTCTAGGTTAGATGCCTGCTAATGACCTAGAATAGGTGATTGAAATCTTTACAACCACCTTCATATTTCAGGAATATTGTAAATTCTTAGCATCTATTCTTTGAATGTGTGAAGCACATCCAAAATTTTGCTCAAGAGAGTTGGAAGAACTTTAACCTTTAGCCCATAGATCTTACTATAGATATAACAAGTGGCCCTCGAGCCAGTAGAGGAGAAGTTAAGCAATTACTGTTAGAGACACTGTGCTAAAAAAGGGGGAAGAATCCTCCTCTCTTAAGATTTCTGTTCTAACGGGAGGGATGACACATCAATAGATAAATACTTAGAAGATATATGTATAGTAAATAGGAAGTGATGGTCTCTTGCAGAAGGTAGGAGTGGGCTGACTTGAAGAAAGCCAGAGAATCCAAGAGATAGAGGTGAGGAAGTAGGGTGTTTAAAGCATGAGGGACAATCAGTGCAAAAGAGATGGAGCATTTTGTTTGAAGAACAGCAAGTACACCAGTGTAAGCTGGCTCGTGGAGTGCTTGGAGGAGTATAAAGTGTACAAAAGTCTGGAAAGATGGGAAGGGGCCAGGTTATAAATACCTTTAAATGCTTGAGGACTTTATTTTTTGATCCTGGATATATCCACCGGAATTTGAGTACAGAGGTTACATACTTTAGGAAAATCCCTCTGGAAGCTTAATGAAAGGTAGAATGGATTGGAGAGAGACTTGCAGCATAGAGACCTACCAGAAGGCTTTAGTAGTATTATAGGTGAGAGGGTGAATAGGTTGATATGTGAGTAAAGAGTAGGAGATGTATACAAGAGATACTATAAGGTTGGTTAAGGAGCAAAGATACATAAACATTTGGAAATTGATAACAAAAAGATGACAGCACACTAGTAATAGTCTCCTTGGTTTTCACATTCCATTTTATAGCCAAGAAAATCAGGCACTGATAATTACAACATAGGCAACAAGTGAAACAGGAGTCCAAACACAAATGGATACCAGGTGATCAGATTAGAAAATACATAGATACATAAACATTTTATGTTCTTTCTAAAATTGTTTTCACTTACTTGTCACTAAAACATTTTGTAGACATTTTTAATTTTTTAATTTTAATTTTTAAAGGATCCCAGTACTTGACTTAATAAGTCATAGCTATAATTTACAAGTGATGCCCTGGTGAGTATGGTATGCAACCTAACTTACTCTACCATCCAGTAATATAGATTCATAGAATTTTAGAGCTGGAACAATGCTTTAGAGATCACCTAATCATCTAATCCAACATCATTTGGAAAATAAGGGGGTTGAACAAGATGACTCCTAAGATTCCTTCCAACTCTGTATGATTCAATGATCTAGGTCCCTGCAGATTGTGATTTAGGCTTCCAGTAGGAGGCTTGTTCTCTTTTCATCCAGTTTGTGCAGGTAAAAATATTAATATACCTACTATAGGTAATTTCTTTTGCTTCTGCAAAGAAAGAAAGGAAAATGATAATCTCTCATATTCTTTAAGTGTGTATCTTTGAATTATTTCCTGAAGTTTAGGATCGAACAAGGTGAGCTGAGGAAAAGAACATTTTTTAAAGTGTTTTTGATTCTGCCTGCTAGAACTAGATCCATCCTTAAGTTAATTATTTAGAAATTCCTAACTATCCTATCTTCCTTCCTTTGCCTTATTGCCATTCCTATTACAGTTTATGATATGTTGTTGCCTGAGTAGAGTCATACAATGTTTATGGGTAGACAGAAGTGTTTTGAGCATCTGTTATAAGAATTAATAATAATAGCAAACTGAAAAACTGCTTAGAATCACAAGGTATACACGGTCTTTGACTTAAAACTGGGATGTGTTCCAAATGTTTGTAAGTCCTTTTGAAATGTTTTTCAGTAGAAACAATGATTGGGTTTTGGACTTGTCTATGGAAGCATATTTTATCATAATTAGCTAAATTCAACTAGAGTATTAATAGTCTTCTAGTGTTTAATTTTTTTTTTCCTGTAGGAAAAGATAGAAGGCGTGTGTTGTAAGATAAACTTAAATCAGGCCAATATGATGGTTCATGTTTGGTTTTGGAATGAAGTAAGACACTTGTAGACTATGTAACAGTTAACAAAAGGAGGTTTACTTGAACCATAACATAGAAAAGATAAATCAGCGATGATACAGCATTGATTTAGTTGAGCGTATCTTCACTACCTTTATGTTGACCATGTAGAAATTTGTCAAACCTGAGAGAGGAACTCCTGGGCAGCTTTTATTCTTAGGCCACTGGGAAGCTACATCCAGGGCCAACCAATTATATCTCTACAGTTTCACTACTTTATTAAAGAAAAATTAGTTGTGCTTATGTAGGAGGGAACCTTCTTATGTTATTCCTATCACAGTGTTCTATCTGTGTAGTACCTTGCACAAGTCACTAATTTCCTTAGGTCTTGGTTTCCTTATCTCTAAAATGAAGGAGTTGGATTAGATGACTTCTGGATTCTTTCTAGTTCCAGATTTATAACCCCAACTGGGAAAACATCTTTCTCTTACCTCTGTTCTTTCCATTTGCTCCTTAACCTTTTATTTGTTTATTTAAAATTTGATTCCTTTTTGTTACAAACATGAGCATCTGTAAGCACGAATGATTCAATATGCCAAGAGCAGAATAGATTATATATGAAACTGAACTTTTGGTAGGGTTTTTTTTAATAGTCTATATTAAATTTTATATAGTAGCAAAAATACCCTGAGTCACTTCCTGAGCTTCTTTCTGTTCTTTTCCATATATTTTTATTATTATTACATTACCCTTCCTTTTTTTTTCCCCTTTCCTCCCCCCTCTATATATGTCCTCCTTTATAATATTAAGTATGGTCAAAACAAATGAACAGACTAGTTATGTCTAAAAATGTATTTCCTAATCTGATCACCTGGTATCCATTTGTGTTTGGACTCCTGTTTCACTTGTTGCCTATGTTGTAATTATCAGTGCCTGATTTTCTTGGCTATAAAATGGAATGTGAAAACCAAGGAGACTATTACTAGTGTGCTGTCACCTTTTTGTTATCAATTTCCAACTGGTCATTAGCTCGTTTAGAAAACTGTTGTGTTAGATGTGTTGACAGCATTATACTCATTCTGTCCTGACAAGTGTTATCCATTTGATAGGTATTATATTTTTTGTGTTCTCTCTTCACCTAAGATTTCCTATCTATAATGAATTTCAGTGTGATAAGATCATTTAGATTTATTTAATTAGGAAGAATTCAATTGAATGAACACATTTTCTTAACAGCAACTTTTGGGGAAGGTTTTCACAGTTGTCACTTATAATTATTTTTAGCTATGTGCTAGAAATTCAACTGAGAATAGGAGAGAGAAAGTGTGTGTAGGTTAGGCAGTGTGGTGTAGTAGAAAGTTCTGAACTGAGAGTCAAGAGAAGTGTAATACTAGTTGTGTAACTATGGGCAAGTCACTTATTAACTCATAGGATTGTTGTGAGGCTCAAATAATATGTCTGTAAAATATTTAGCTGATGCATAGCGCTTTAAAAGGTTTGCATTACGAAACTATTAATTTGAACTTGAACTAAATAGACTTTTTTTTTCAGAAGCAGTGCTACTTGTTTCATTCTTTAGGTTTCTTTCAGCATTCTTCTCCATTTGCATTTTACATTAGATTATCTATTGACAGCTTTTAGCTTTACATTTAGAGAAAATTAAGATATACACAACTCAGTAAATAATTCCTGTATCTCCGCCCCCTTGCAAATCACTAATCAAATTAAAAATCACATTTCAT